CAACGAGTCATCAACAGAGAATCACGTACTGATTGTTTTTGTTCCCCGAATAAGTCATCGCCCTCCCATTCACGAAATTCGATGTCATCTGATACTCGACTAGATCTCGAGGAGTACGTCCACGTCAACAAATTAAATCCGGAAACCCCAGAATGGATCCAAACACGTGGATTTTATCAACATCGAGTTCTCTTTTTATTTGATTTTTCAGAAGCTAATCTGAACTTATTTTCATTCAGTGATAGAGATAACTGGATTCTGAGTTGATACCAAAATAAATGTTGAACTCTGTGCCAATCTCGACGCGGAAGTGATTTAATCTTGTATTTTCGAGAAAATAAAAATGAGATAGTGTCTCGTCCAGAGATAAATAAATTAAATAAAAACCGCTGATCATTGCATGAGGGACTCTGAAAATTTGGGAGTCAGACTTTTCCATAGGAAATTCAGAAATTCCAAAAATTCCAAAAATTCCGAAAATTCCACAACTTCTGAAATGTTCTAATAAAAATTATAGGAAGAAATTTCGGTTAACTTACCCAATTTTTCTTATAATATTTTTATTAATTTATTGAGAATCTTACCAATTTATAGCGACGACGCGTAGTTCGATGTAAAAAAGTATGAATTCTCTTCCCACGTCCAATAAAGTTTCCGGTAATGAGTAATTCTCTGTGCGTATGTACTTCGATGATTCAATGAAATGCACACACTCTCTTTCAGTCCCTCGAGAGACACCGTCACTCACTAAAACCTAAAACTAAACTGAACAACTCTTGTTTGAGAGAAGTTCCATCCCAGAGTCAGCGCCCACTCGCAAATACATATATGTGCATGTGCCAGTGGATAAACAGATGCCTCTATTGTATGTAATATATAACGAACTCATCTAGTAACTAAAATAAAATGTGTACAGACCTCGGAGTTCGATGACATCAATTAGGTTGTAATTAGAATGTTGATTTATTTAAAAAACAATCATTAAAAATATTTCTATGTATACTAATAACATAGCGTATGTAAAAACTGTCCCATTGTTGATCCAAAAAAAAATTCGATGTTTAATTGAAGATTAATTGATAAATTCATTAAAAAATTAAAAATTATTTAATTATAAATTTCATTAAATTTCAAAATGATTAATTAGACAATTGATAGACTGTCAAGTCGGATTCCTCAAAAATTAAAAAAAACGTAAATAACGCAAATGTATAATAAAAAATAAATAATTAGCGCTTCACCTAGAGAATTAATCAATTATTCAAGTACATTTACACAAAAAAAAATTTTTTCCACGTGTATAAAAATGGGAAGAGCGAGACAGGTGACAGCTTCAGAGGAAAAATCTCAAAGATAAATATAATATTCTATATATTTCCCAGGAATAATATATAAAAATTATGTAATGACGAGTGCACTGAAAAAAAAATTATTTTTGCCAAAAATATTTTCTTTAAATAAATCTGGCGATCACTGTGTAAATACTCCCATAAGACTTAGATGCCAAATATATTTTCTTGTGGTTAGTAAATATTCTAGGGTAAAAAAATTTTTTTTTTTAGTGTAATCGTTATTTTGGGGGTTTTTTAAATAACAATTCGGCCGATTCGAGATATATTCAGATGTGGTTTTCAATGTTTTTGGAGAGAGGGGTGCGTTTTGCCCTCTCTTACCCCTATCGATCGACGCCTGTGCAGTACCAACCCTTCGCCATTTCCTTCGCGCACAATAGTTTCCACAAAACCGGCAACAATCGTCAGTAATTCATAGCCCCGTGTGTCGAGCAGTTGACGGTTTTAGATCATCCGTTGAAATAGTATTTACCTCAGTGTCATCATCAGTTTGGATTTAATCAATCGCAGGTAAATTACGGGGACCTCTCCAATTTCCGCGGGTGCAATTGGGAGAAAATATCGCATTGCTGATACGATTTTCCTAATTTTCCACATCTGTCATGTCCGGCATCATGAGTTTTATTGATTCCTGTGAGATTACGTGGATACAATTTTCAATTTTTCTTGTATTAGATTTTTTTTTCATATAACAAATTATTCGGAACTCACAATCGGTCATCCCCACAGATAAAATATATACGCTAATAATTATATCCGGTGTATATATGATATATTGCATTTTTAACTGAAAATATATTTAATTTATACTTCATTTATATCAGATATATGAGGAATATGTATGGAATATATATATGCTCATATTCATATTCAGTATATTTCGGACATATTACATTTTTCTCTGGTATATAGGGGCGTATCACTTATATATATATATTATATACTTCGTGTATATATCGTTTTGCATGCAGGTAAAAATTCCCTTCTCCAAAATTGCGGATAATTTCCAGAAACTTGTTATTAATTTTTTAAAATATATACATGTATTCCGGAAGCGCTTGCAATATATCAGATATATACCGAATATATATTGATGTATATATCTACGCAAATGAATTTGGCATATAATATAAAATTTGACATGAGATATATTTGCGTTAGAGTCCAATATATCAGATATAATCATTAGCTTATATTTTTTTTCATGCGATTACGTCTATAATTTACGGTTTCACTCATCTTGATAATCTTGATTGAAATTCTGTCGTGACATCGTAATCCAAAAATTCCAGAAGAATTCACCAGCTCAAAATGGTTTGAGTGCCGATTCGATTTTCGAGATTGAAGTCTGCAATAAATAAATAAAAGCAATATTAATGGAAACATTCCGGTAAACATTTAATATACGAAT